TAATAGACCGCCGCTATTTCCAGCGGCGGTAAATTTCTAACCGATGTTAAACCATCGTTAATACCGGCAGTTACATAACTACCGGTCCAGACTGCTAGGTAATTCATGAATTTCCTGTAGTGCATTTGTAACAACTCAAACTCATAACTATCGAGATATTATCCACTTTGGACTAAGAGTCTCACATTTTTATCCTGTTGGTGTAACTTCCCAATAAGTCACCCATCTTAAAATTGCTTTGGGGTTAGCTCGCTTAACTATAGAGTTTCTTAATGAAATTTCAACCATTACACCAAAAGGTGTCTCGATATTTAAGAGTTTGGTTTTCTTTTACTTAAGGGGCTTCACACTTACTTCTTTTATGTTGAAGATAAGACTTTTTATTTCTTTCTCTACCATTTTTGGATACTTCATTATAGTTTTAATAAAATAGTTGATACATCAACTAATTTTTAGAGATAAGAAAGCTACTTTAGCTTTCACAACATTTTGTTTTATCCTTTAAGCCAATAATAATATAAGAGAAGGGTTGTTAGTTCTTTAGCTTCACCTCCCATACTTGCTTGCATGTCCATGCCTAATTACATATATCTATATCTAGAGGATAGAATAAAGCTACTTTTCTAGATGTTTTTATGCATATGATGTACCCCATTATGATGTAACATAATTGAGTTACTGCTTTCCTCATAGGGATTCAATTAGGGGTTTCAATATTTGACATGACCCGAAAATTCGACCCTAACCCAACCTACAAATTGAAATTTATGCTATTTGAGAAATGGGTCAACCTATTTGAGAAATGGGTCAAATTTTCGGGTCAAATTTGGGTTCTTTTATGCTAATTGAGAAATGGGTCAACCTATTTGAGAAATGGGTCAAATTTGGGTTCGAGTTTTTGAACCGTTTGTAAAACTGAATCTGGTTTGGGTTGGCCAAAAAACTCGAAACCAACCCATGTTTAACCCAGGAATATTATGCTATCAACTCATCGGCATCATCCCGTGGTCGCCGCTCGCCAAACCCACACTTCTAGATGAGTGAAATGCTCACCGTGAACGAATGTGCGCATAAGATGCTTGCTATCACGAGCAGCGAGCCTTGCCAACCGCCGGTCTTGGTCTGGTCGTCCACACTGTCGGTTGTCGTTAAGTCGTAAAATGCCTCGACATCATCCCATCCTATTACATTCACATCCCATCATGTATTCCTGTCGTATATGCTCTCGAAGGCCGTCATTAGCAATTTGATGTTTGCATCCCATCCTGTCGCACATTCCCAGTTCGCACAGATGTCAGCGGCTCGGCTAAACTTTCGTGTTGGATCTTGTAAACCCCGCTAGTCAGGTCTCGGCTAGATTTTTTGACCCCTTTGTAAAAATGGGTCAGGTTTAGGTCGTGTCAAATAGAGTTAGGTTGATTCTGGTTTCGACCCGAACCCGACCCGTTGACCCGAATTGACACCCCTAGATTCAATTCATCTGTTCTTCTTTGCACCTTACTAGGTGGGTTAAAAACACATTGTAGTATATATACAATATATTTAGGACCTAATAGAGAGCATCATAAGAAACAAGATTAGTTACCTAACTTTTTAGGGATAACTTCACTGGCCAAGTTTAGGAATTTGATTGGATATAATTTATAGGTATCTCTTTAGCTCTTCTATATGAACTAAGGTACACTAACAAACATTATAAAGTCGCTTGTTAATTTGGTTGACTAAGACCATATCCAATGTGATTTTTTAGTTGTGTTGAATCCATTAGCCTTGATGTTTTATCTTGTATGTCATGATTAAACCATTTAGTGATTTGATAATAAAAAATTCTATAGATTTATCTAATAAAATTTTAAATGGTCGGAAGTTATTAAATTGATAAGTAAATTATAGAGACTATGACCTTTTGTTTTATGCTAGCTTAAGTACTACTCATAAATAAAAATGATAAACTCAATATATTCAAAAGTTAAAGTAAAGATTCATAGTATTTAGATCATTATGAGTTTAGGTGTTATTTAATGTATTTTTACTGAGTTAGATTAAATTGAAGATGCAGAATATTGTGAACATGTCTAAGATTTAATTAGTCTTTATCTATAAATACTCAAAAATATACTTTTAATATTACTATTGATGATTTATCTTATAGAGGTAATGGTACCTAGTCTTAATTATAACCATGATAATATTTTTCTTGTAGTCTTCCACATATATCACACTACCTTCTAACATCACTTAGCTTAAGCACAAATATAATATTATGTAAAAGGACATTGACAGTGGTTTCCATTACTGTAGGAGTAGTTGATGATGAGGGTAGTAGGTGGAAGTCATGGCTAAGGAACATCAACAAGTCCTACTATTAGCAACATAATGAGATTTCCTAAAGGATCATCATTATGCCAATGCTTCTTGGATAGTTGAAGTGATTTTGGTCTTCTCTTTATACCAAGATTGTCAAAGGTGGAAGATTAATCATTAAGGTGCCTTAGAAGATCTATGCCTATTAAAGATCTAAAATAATATCATTTAATTACTTATAAGTTAGTTTAAGTGCATGGATTTAAGTCTAATATGATGAAATTTAGGTATGCCAAATAATTAAATAGTTCAACTTGACCAATACATTAGAGCTAAGTCCTCCACTTGGTTTAAGGGATTTGGATTTTGCCTTAAATAAATTGAGGAAAGGACAACTTGCTCAACCTGATTATAAGTTAAATTAATAAGCTAGTGTCAACCACTTACAAATTTTTTGGAGATAGAATATTGTAAGCCAATAGGTATTGTGTACAATAATTGTATGATATATTGTTTTGGAACTTTTAAGCATTAGCAATGCACTTTTTTTTCTTTTTTTTCTTTTTTTTCTTTGTAACAAGATTTTAATTATATTCACTTGCTTTCTTTTTAACTCATTTTTGTTTCTTGTAACTAATTGTACTTTAATTTTTCTTATGTTTTATTTATTTTTTTTATTTTGTCTTTTAAAATTACTAACCACTAACTATGAAGTGAGGTAATTTTAGCGTAAAATTATATTACATGGCTATGATGGTGAGCTAATTTTGAGGAGAGTCTTGAATAACATTATAAGAAACATAGTGCTTTGCATTTGTGGTGCCCACTATACATGCTCAACATAAATCTTCACCATTATAGGCTTAAAGAATGCAAATCTTTTAAATTCAAGTCTCTGCCTAACTATATTAAACTAGTTAACCAAGGGATGTGTTAAGATTATTATCTAACACATGCATTACAAATCATCAAGAGGGTATTGAAAAATCAAGATACATATAGGAGATACATATAAGAGCATTATTTTAAGATTCATTATCATAAAAAAAATTAAGATGCAAAAATATGCATCGAATACGTAATCATGATCAAGATGCTACCCTTTTTAGAGAAAAAAAGAAGGAAAAACAGAAAGCAAAAACAGTAAACTAAATACTTGCCAAATTAACCTCTTTTTAACCTATCTATCGCTTGGATAAAGAGAACCATATGCCTTCCTATTGGCGGAGACTTGATCATAAGAAATATGGATAATAAATCTTAAGGAGTTTAGACCAAGCTAGAAATTTAAATGATTGCAAGTAGCTAAAGTACTAAAGCAACATCCTTAACCAAAGAACTTATAAATGCTTGGGATAAAAGAATATGACCATACATATGATCGGTCCTGATTGTATCAATCCAGCAAATAATTAGCACTCAAAGTACCTAACAAAAGAGCTAGCCCATATAAACACCCTATCAATCTAAACATAAAAATATGATTACTTAGAGATGATTTGATCCTAAAAGAACCAATTGTTGTGTTGGCCTTGCATCACTCTTTTCTTTCTCTTATCTAATTCTCAAATAATTTTCATAATTTATACTCCACAAGGTATCTCTGAAGTCTAATATATTTCATAACTCCTTAACTTTGATTTTTTTTTATTTCAATTAAAAGTCTTATTGAGCATATTGAAATACAAATTCATGCCCATGAATTATTCATGAATTCCTTCATAAAAAGCTAAAATTTATAACTTCATATGTTTATTTGATTTTAAAATATGTTTAAATCATAATGTTTACTGTTCTTTTAATTATCTATCCATCTATATGTTGTGCGCGGCTTATTTAAATCCTAGTTATCTATCTGGCTTGCTAATTACCATAGAAAACTCTATAGAATCATGTAAATATATATTTGATTTGTTTTCATTTATTCTTCTTCTTGGAATAATTACCCTTTCTTTATTTTTCAAAAAAATGGCAGGGTTTCTTCAACATGCATGCATGCATGCAACATATAAAACTTCATTAAGCATTGTTTATATGCATTATATGCATGAATATGGTTGTTGGAAGCTAGCAATTAAATATTACAATTATAAGGTTTCGTTTGATGTGACATTCTTACTGCTTTTTAAAGCAGTATTTTAGTACAATAAATATATTTCTCGTACTAGAAAGTTGTTTTAAGAAGCAATAAGAAATCTATCTCAAACAAAGCCTAAGTTTAATTAGTGTAAAACATATGAACTTCAAAGGTGTAGATCAATAATTATATCTTCTTAAACTCAAAATAATTTCTGCATAAAATACTTAATTAAAAATCAACAACAATAATCATAAATTTGATAAAATAATACAACATATTAGGAGCCGTACAGATTAAAATTTCCAAAGATATTGTTGTGGTAATCTAATTTTTAATATATCAAGCTGGTTTAATGCATGAACCATCAACAATACCATGAATTCTTGTATTTTGGCACTTATTTTCTTTCACAAATTTCCAAAACTAACATGTGAATATTCTATTTTCTGAAGTAAATATCCTTGCCTCATCACCCATCTAACGGGGGACTATAGGCTTATTCTTAATTTTTTTAAAGGTTTTTTAGCATAATTTGAATACATTGGATGTTGGTTATGAAAGCTGCCTCTAGAAGCAAAGGACGGAGAGAGAGAAAGGCAAAGTGATAGAGAGAGACCTTACAGTACTGAGAGAAGACGAGGTGTCTCCCATGCGTGGATGAGCTACAAAGCCCCATTACACCACCACTAATATTTTCTTTTCCAAACACCAAGTCCTTAAATACCACATTCTCCTTCTCCATTCTTCTATTATCGTCCTTCGTCAAACCAGTATAAAAGCCACCAAACTCCTGCAACTCTCTCCCAAACACAAGCTCGACTCCCAAATAATCCCTCAAAAAGCTCTCCACCATCACCCTTGGCATCTTGGTCACCCCAACCCTCCTCTTTGCTTTACTAAACAGTTCAAATTCTTCAAAACCCATATCTTCTAAGAAGAACTTTGGCAGAACAGTTCTCCCAACCCTAAAGCTATTTGTTTTCACTCCAAAGAAGCATAACATTACCATAACTCTTAGCCCAAACTCATAGCCCATGAAGCAGATTATAGGGTATAAAAGAAGAAGAAGAAAGCCTCTAAGAAACCCTCCTCCTTCTATGGCCACAAGCATAAAGTATGCAAACGTAGAAGAGGACCTTAACAGTGCTCCTTCCACTTCCAGAACTAAGGTTTCTATGGAGAGCTTCTCCATCTTGCTCTAATGGCTGCTTACATGCAGTTTTTTTTCTTTCTATTTTCTTATAGGCGTGTTCTGTAACTCTACTTGGCCCAGAATACAAGCAAACAGGAAAAATTATGTCCATTTCTGTACTCTATCTGCATTAGGTAAAGGATCTTTTTAACTTATAGAATAAATGAAGGGGTTATCTGAATAGATAATATTATTTGATAATGCGCTTATTCTGAGTTTGGTGAGAACAGTACCCTATGCGGTTGCTTTGGTTAATAAAGAAGATATAAATCAGCAAAGTAGGCATCAGTTCATTTTCTACTTCCAAGCAAGAAGCTGAATATGCTGCCACAATTGTAGAAGAAAGTTTAATTAAATACTGTTAGTTGTTGCATCACAAAAGTCATGTGATCATACAAGACTTGTAAAACTTTGGAACATGTGGCTGTCTGAAATAATTTTGGCTCCAATTTATACGTCAAGCATAGCTTTCTTTTATACATTAAATATAATTACATAGATAATTTTCATGCAAAAAATAGTAGTTCATCGATCTTGCCATAATATCAGATTTAGATTAAGGCTTCATTTTGGGCGGCTTTTGTATTGCTTCTTAAAGCAGCTTTCAAGTATAAAATTAAAAGTTTGTACTAAAAAGCTGCTTAAAAAATAGTAAGAAAGTCATCTCAAACAAAGCCTAAGTTTATAATATGAAAAACATCAAAATGGCCAATTATGTTATTGATTAATTAATGGATACTAGATTCTCCAATATTATGATATGCCAAGACATTACTCCATAAACATGAAGAGATCATCATACACATAATCCATGCATTATTCACCATCATTTTTATGAATCACAAATCATTACAAACTACAATCATCATACACATCCATACAACATTCATCATCATTTTTATGAATCGTAAATCATTACATACCATAATAATTTAAAAGCTAAGTGAATTTAAGGTAAAGATCTTCTACCTCAAATTAGGATGAATCTTTAATATCACCCAAGAGCGGAACCAACCTCTTTTAAGGATGGGAAAACTTATCATATAAATAAATTCAAATTTAAATAAATAATATAATATATAATTCAAAATAAAATATTATATTTCACTACGATCGATGAATTGAGCAATGCTTACAAGTTTATCAATCTTGTTTTCATTTTTAATTTGATAACTATGAATTTTAACTACATTAGAAATTAATTCAAATACTTCTTTCTCAATATAAAGTATTAAACAACCATTGAGCTAATCATCACACATTCTACTAAGTAATAAATGTTTGAAAATTCTCATTACATAAAATGCTCTCTCCATTGTAGCTATAGTAATTGGTAAAGTTAATATTAAAATAATAAGAACCTGTAAACTAGAGGATACAAATCATCATTCTTTATCTTAACAATTTATTTTGCAAAATCAACAATGTTGCTCAAAGATGAAAACTCATCATTAGTACACATTAATAATATAAGTGGATAACATATGTTCAAGAGTCACAATCTCAATAGTAGAAAAATAATTTGGATATAACTATGCTAGATGAATTAGTTTTTTATTATCATAAGCAAAGAAGGAATCGCTTAGGTTTCAATGTCCTTGAATCAATTGTAGCATTATTAAGTTAACCCTCTAATGGAATTATAAACCTTAATTATCACTAAATTTTAGTATACTTGAACCAAATGTTGTTAAAGCTAACACATTAGATAAACTATTCTTTCACTAAATAATACTTCAGTTACTCATCAGAAGTTTAAAGGCGAATAAGAAAGATGGCAAAAATTTTGCGATTTCTTGAGCTCTGGGATGTGTATAAACTAATATAGGGTGTTTGAACACTCCAGAAAGATGTATATCAACTTTAACTTATTAAATATTTCTTAACATATAATCTATTGATTGTTCTAAATCTTATTTGTAAGTCTAACTATTCAGTGCATACAACATATATAACACTTAAAATATGTGATTTCAAAAGTTGTACACTTGTGGAATCATTAGGATAAGTGTTATCGATCTTGGTGCAACATACTCTCTTTTACTGTCACTAATAGCATTGTCGTCATCCCTATTTATTGATCTCTCAATGTATGCCCTCAATCATGTAGTCCTCAATCTTTCAGTCTACCTAGACTATCCTACTCAAGAATATGTTCGTCCTCCAGGTCCTCTTTATGGACAATCTACTATATACTTTGTGTCTTTGCTTTCCACATCAAAAATACCATCCGGTTAGAAGGTAGCATTAACCTGAATGAATGTCTCCTTCTGCAATGGATGCAATCATAGTAGCTACTGGTAGGTGTTATTGATCCTCCCCTTGAATCATCAAATTTGCTTCTCTTATCACAATCTAACCCTTTTTGCTAACGCAAAAAAACCTTGAATGCATAGAGGTACTAACGAATGTCTTAATTCATTATTTAATCCTTTCATAAATTTGTAATATTTCCTTTAATAATGGGTATCAAATGAGGAGCATATACATAGGCAATGCAATAAACCTAGCTTCATATTGCATGACTATTTTGCATCCCTATTTTAGTCTTATAAAGACTTCCTGTATTTATTATCAGGCTGAGGGAAGTACAAACCATATTTTAAACACTGTAGTAAATTGTTTCAAAGTAATATATACATTAGTTTTTCCTTGAAATGTCTCTCGCTATTCTCCTACCCAACATCTCTCTGCTTTGCCTTTAGATAGAATGATAACTAACAACTCCTTCTAATTTTTTAGACACTGCATACTATTAAAAATCTTCTCTATCCACTACAGGAAAAATACCTATTACCGGCGGTTCTAACCGGCGGTTTATGGACCGCCAGTGTTACCGGCGGTTTCGCCGGCGGTTTGACCAGCGGCGTTTAACGGCGGCCTAACCGATGGGTTTGTTACGTTAAGCCGCCGGTACTAGCGACGGTCCATAAACCGCCGGATGTCAATATTAACCGGCAGTTTAACGGTGGCTGGACCGCCGTTAAAAAGTCATTTTTTACCGGCGGTCAGGACAGACCGAAATACCGCCGGTAAATGCCCTAATACGAACAGACCCGCACCTCGCATTTCATTTCTATTCTTTCCTTCTCTCTCTCGTTTCGGTCGCTGCCGTCGCCTTCACTCACGATCGACTTCCGTTTGTCGCCGCCGACGTAGCATCTCCGACTGCCGACCCCACACCGACCGTCGACGTCGTATCTCCAAACTCCGACCGCCGTCGATCTCACTCCGGATCTCACGCCGCCAGCAACCCTAGATTTCGTGTGAGTTGAACAAAAATCAGTATTTTAAGGTAATATTTATCATTTTTCTTTGATTATTTGTTATCATTAGACATTTGCAAGAGTTTTTTATATTTTGGATGATTAAGGTAGTAATTTAGACATATGCAAGAGGTAATGTTGTAATCATTTGGGTAGATCTAATTTTTTTTTATTAAGTGTTATTTTAGTTTAGAGTAGATCTAATTTGTTGATTGTGACTTTGGATTAGAGCAAGATAGGAAGAGAGAGATTGAGGGAGAGAAAAGAGAGGGAGAGGGAGAGATAAAAGAGAGGGAGACATAAAAGAGAGAGAGAGGGAGA